AATAATTATATATATATATATATATATATATCATATAAGTTTGGGTAAAGGCTAGTGTACAGTTCAATATGAGGAAATTTGTATCTATAGACGGATTACTCCTCTTGAGCTACTAGAGTGCTCTCTTGGTTGTTCATTCATATAGTTGTTATCATTCCTTGACTTACCGCCACAAACGTCTGAATAAACTGCTGGATGTGCGTAGGAAGAATTCACTCATACCACTACGTTGTACAATCCCCGACGATTCATGGTTTCAAGAGGGAATCAATGGAAAAGAGATACTTCCGTTTACTTTGTATTATTCCTTCCACGATATCTAAGAGGTAGGGGGGAGGAGGTCCACATTTGGGCATGACCAGCTGCCTTGATACAGCCGTCGGACGTGAAATGAGTTTTGCTGTCCAATAACTCTCCACATTGCCACCCATTCAGCCCTAGGATATATTAACGACCACTCTTAGAATCTCCTTCCTTCCTTGCTTTGCACAGCCCCAGGCTTTCCCTAATGAGATTCTTCCGCGATGAGGTTAGGAGAAAGTGTAGACTACGGGCATCATGGATTTATATGGCAAAGCGCACTCACTCCTACTGCGTTCTAGTTTTACTCTTTCCCGGATTCCGAAACTGCTTTTCCGAGAACCCTACAGGAGGTGTAACGAAAGCTTTTTATGCGTGCTACATCTCCCCACTTGTGTGGGTTAGCAAAGAGATACGGCTTCGAAGAAATTGTTAGGAAAGAATGAGAAGGAACTGATGAAAACACGGAGATAAGCCCAGTAGACAACAAATTTAGTGGAGAGTCTAAATATAGGGAATCTAATTACCGGAGGAAAACCCTTTAAGTTCGAATTTAGAGGAATAATGGATCCATTTTTGTGCAACTATATCTGCTAATAGATAGAAAATAACACTACGGTAAGAAAACAACATCCTCAAAAGAAAAATTCTACAAAGTTATCCACATTCTAGATAAGTGTTACATTCCTACACTAACTAAACGCCTCCCTAGAAAACCATCACTACCACCACCAAAAGTAACTCTACCCTTCAAAAGCGATTTAACGGCGATCGGGCTGGATATCCGAGTCAAACGTTTCCCCTTCTAAGATCATTAACTCCTGAGCTTCACGACGTAGACGCATCCGACGAAGCGCCTCCTCACGCGCCCAATCCATCCGGCTGTTCAGTTTGGAGTAGTACGCCCACACGACGAATTCCACGCCGAGGATCGCCAAGGAAAGATGCCAGACCTTCTCCCACAGCGGCCAGTCATCCCACTGGTAGCGGAAGGTAGCGCGCGGGGTGTAAGGGTACGGATCCCCATCCCCCCACGCCAGGCGGCGAAACTTCGAGCGCCGGAAGGCCATCTTCGCCATCTTCTCGTTCCAACCCGCCATTTGCCGATCCACCAGTTGGGGTTGGGGTTTAGAATTGCTTGGAAGTTATGATATGAATAAAAATCTAGAAGCTTCTACGCAAGAAGAGGAGAGGGCAACCATAAAAATTAGTAAAAAAGAAGCCGTGTATGGTGATGAATAATAATAATAATAACAAGAACAGACTCATCAGTTTGGATATCGCATAGGAAACCAACTCATGGAGTATTCATGGATCAAAAATTCCACTACTATGAATGATATAGGTCGGAATGGGATAAAACGCCCCAGCGACCAAAGCTTTAATCTAATTAAATGTTATTCTTCATCATTAGCTTAATAGGGAAACATCGAAAGATACGTAAACATACAAATACAAAACCTCTCATATATTTTTGGGATAGAGATCACGAGTGATGAAAAACAAACTAACAATCCGGCAAAAAATAAAAGGTACGCCCAAATATCATAGTGATTGTTGTTAATGGAACAGGAGACAAAATCTAGATGACATGCTTCTTAAAGCGTAGTGTTTTATCTCTATCAAGTGGTGGGGAGGAAATCAAGTAATCGCGATCGCTTCCGATTTCCCCCCCTCCCTCTCACCCGCTGCCCTCTTCTTCTTCTTCTCCATTTTCTTAATCCCTAAACGGTCAACTAATTTATCACATAACAGAGCACATTTGTTATGACCATTTTAATTTCTCCCCGTTATTTATAAACCCTCCTAAATTCGATTTTGCAGCCCAGAGCAATCCGCACCGAGCTCGGCGATTTTGCAGATCGGACAGGCCCGCCCCCGATACGTCTCCGCGGCGCTCGAGGCGCAATACCCGCACTGCACGACATTCCCCGTTCCTTTGTAAATCGCACGATGCGAGACGCAACACATCGTGAACGGATTTCGCTCATTATACCCGATCGCGAGGGCATCTGTGGGGTGTTTATCGGCCTCCGCGATAATCGCGCGGGCCTGATTCACCTTATTCGCGGGCGGTTCCAACTCCAGCAGCCGCTGTGCCACCCGCGCGGCGGTGTGGAAGTTTCCCCGTTTATACACCCGCGTCATCGCCTGGGCGAGGATCAACGTGAGATGCGCCCGGCGAAGTTTTGCGTGGGTGAGGTGAAGCGCCATTTCCAACCCTTCCGAGGAGCTGGGGTCGACGCCGCGGAGGGCGATTTGTAAGGCGAGCGCGCGCGCGTACTCCGCGGCGTTTCGCACGACCCCCCGCCATTCCTCCCCTCGCGCGGGGGCGAAAACGGCCTGATGAAGGACCCCTTGAAAGACCCCGAGGGCCTCCGCGAA